ACAAGCTGGTGAAGTACCTTGCCAACAGACTTAGGCCAGGTAAGGGTGCCTCAGGCTCTTGTTAACCCTGGCCCACCACAAGCTGCCCTGCTTCTTAGAGACACTATTATGCCCATGTTCTGTATATCTATTCTTTTCCCACATACCTTTTATTTGGAGTCATGGCAAGAAAGACCTGTTGGTATCAGGTTAGAGGACAAACACACTCAGTGGAGGACACACTATTCCAACCGTTGCCTTCTTTCCTGATAGCAATGTGTCTGGTGGAATCAGGAAATATCCATCCAGTGTCCTTCCAGGTAGTGGGAGTGTCAGAGAGACTCATGATAGTTTTGTAATAGCCTATTTCATGAATCAGTTTTCTAGGTATCCTTGTAATGCAGCTGTTGGGAATTATGGTGTAAATGATCATTCCTGGGTTTTCACTTCCTCATCTCTAACATGCTCACAATATGTGCTGTATGACAATTGTAGCATTCAAACAGGTAAGTTCATCAGTGTCATTGCAGGTGGATGAGGTCATTCAAAATCTATCAGAGATTTTCATTTATGGACTTCATGAAGTAGGGTGCAGTGGTGAGATGTTGGGGACACCAGAAGCCTCAGCAGGTATCATAGGGAGAATTTCCTTTAATTATATGATAATAGCTCATATGAAGATCTTAGAAAGTACACAATTGCATGGAGAGTTGTGTGGAAGGTTTCTTTTTCCTGTCCTTAGCAGGCAAGATGAGTGTGAAGTAGAGCAATGGTTCAGGACTTTGGAGCCATTAGCTCTATTCCCCAGCTGTGTCCTGATTGAAATATAGCTGGAGAAGTCCCCAGGCTGGCTGCATTTCTCTGGTGTCTCTTCATTGGAGTATTGAAAAGATTTTTTTCTCTTTACCCAATGGAAAGTGCAGCATCCCACTAAGAAAATCAAACTATTGGGACCTCAGTTTCCTGGTTCATTGTGCCAGGCCCCGTGTTAAGGCCAAACATAACACCTTTCCGTCCTCATACATATATCATACTTATCTCTTCAACAAGATAGCTCACTGTTCTTCAGAGGGGAAATGCACTGCCAATCTCTGACTTGGATGCTTTGAATTTGGTTGCAGATAATCTAGATGATGAGGATGAGGATGATGAAATGAGCCTGGATTCCAGTAGCAGCACGTAAGCAAGTGTGATACCCAGTTATTTGTGTAAATATCATGTCCATGAGGCCAAAGTCATTGCAAATTTCAAAGTGAAAGAAAGAGTGCTTCTGGTGATTGTGTTATTCCCTCTTCCAGAAATACCTTGGCCCTTTTGCAGTCCTTAGAGTTCTCTGCATGGAAATGGGAGTGTGAGTCACCTATAGGAACCAAACATTGTGAGAATTCTTGCCCTTAAAGAAACCACTTGTACCATGGAGGGATAAAATGACAATAAGATGGCACATTTTCTTTCATTATTGTTGGAGTGAGGCTATGACATGTCTGCCCTAAGAAGAAAAGCAGAGTGAACCTGAACATCCACTAAAGAAAATAATAACATGTCACAAGATTCGTAGAAAAGTTTTGTTTTGTTGAAGCATGTTCTCACTATGTAGTTTAAACTGGCCTTGAACTCACTGTATAGCCTGAGCTGACCTTAGACTTCCAAACATCCTCCTGGCTCAGCCTCTTGAGTGCTGCAGTTATAGGCATGTACCACCTCCCTGACTAGAAACAGTGGTGGGAAGTCCTAGTCTATGG